CCCCTCACTATTCAGGTTGCTCGCGCTACGCTGTGAGTCCGATAGAACAAAATTATTTAAAAAAATTTTAGTTATAATTTTTTATTTAACTAAATTTTTTCAATGTTTTTCATAAGTTTTTTGCTTAGAAAAAACATAAATCATTCTTCTTTAAGGATTGATTTTAAAATAAAAAATTATAATAATTTTAACTAAAATATTAATCAAGAATTAAAAAATTTTAAAAATGTATTTTTTATAATATTTTATTACAAAAAAAATAAAGTTATAATTAATGGATAAAATTTTACAAAAATTAACAAATGAAAAAAAAATTCTGATTTGATGCTAATGAGAAGATTAATTTTTGAAACTATTAACGCAATGCTATAGGTAGATAAAACAAAATCATTTCAAATTTTTATAATTTTATAATTAATTTTTTATTTAATTATTACTATTTTTTGTGTGTTTTTCATAAATTTTCTGTTTTAAAAAACATGATTTATTCTTCTTTATTAAAGAATTCTTAAATAAAAATTTGTAACAATTTAAACTAGAAATATTAATTAAGAATTCAAAAAAATACTTTAAAATTATATATTTTTTTATAAGAATGTATCCATAAAACAAAGTTACAATTAATGTATAGACTTGCATAAAAATTAACCTATGAAAATAAAATAAAATTTTATTCATATTTAATGTTGGTGAGAAGATTTTTTTTTTCAAGTATATGCATTTGATCTATATATATTTATTTACAAAATAATCAATAAAATTAGCATAAAAACTATATTTGAATAATTGGTTGGTTCCTTTAAAAAATTATTTTAATTATTTTATTTTAAATAAATTGGTTCTATAACGTTAAAAAAAAAATCATAGTAAATAATTGGTATTATGTTGGAAGATGAATAATTAATTTTTAAGAAAAAAATGATTCAATAGTTTTTTTATACATCTTGATCATACTTAATGAATCGAGATAAATTATTTGAAACACAATTTTAACCTTTTAGAATAAAATCATTATATATATATATATATAAACTATCATTTAAAATTTTTTAGAATTCATGATATATATTATATCAATTTATTTTTAAAAAAATAAAAAACAATCACGTTTTAAAATTTTATTCGAAAACTAAAATATAGAGAAAAATAAATTATATTGATAAATAAATAAAATTTTAAACAAAAAAAATTAATTGGATGAGAATTTTTTATAAAAATGATAAATTCAAAGAATAAAATTTAAATAATAAGAGTAATATAAGTTGAAGTATATGTTTATTTTAAAATATAAAAATATAGTGTACACACACACTGCGTGAAAATGAAAGAAAAATGAAAACTAAGGATAAAAAAAAAATACTACAACAGGAGGGACAAAAACAGAAAAAAGTTTTAAATTTGCATATTAATGCCTAAAGACCAAAAAAAAAAAAAAAACTTAAATTGCCATAAAGTGAATAGTAATTTTATGCATATGAACGGTAAGTGAATAAGAATTTTAGGCATATGAACAGTTCGGATTTTTATGCTATGCTACGGATCAAACTAAACATATTTATTCCCATTTGATAATATATACTATGTTGTTGGTTAATCAAAATATATTAAATTAAATATAAAAGATAAAATTTTATCTAATTTTATAATTTTTAATCAAAATTTTGCGTATGTGTGTGTGTGTGTGTGTGTTTGTGTTTTGAATAAATTTTAAAGTAAAAAAAACATGATTTGTTATTTCTTATGCATTTATACTTAAATAAAACCCCATAATAAAAAAATTTTAATATAATTTTTTTAAGAAAAATCTTAATATTTTTTCCACAACATTGCATCGAAGAAACAAAGCAACAATTAATATAAAAACTTATATGAAAATTAAAAAATGAAGCATTTTTACTGATGAAAAGATTATGTTTTTTAAATATCTACATTTGATTTATATCTATTTATTTACAAAATAATGAATAATATAAAAAATTAAATTTTAAAATATATATTGAAGTTAATAGAATGCAATAAAAAGTATAAATTTGATTTCAATAAAATTTGATTATATAAAAAATAAAAAAATAAAATACATATATTCTATTTTTAAAATTTGATTATATAAGAATCAAGCAAATAAAAAAATTATATATAAAAAAAACTTATTCCAATCTATACATATAAAAAATAAATCATATTTATTAATAAATAAAAATTATAAAAAAATAAGACTAAAAATTAACTTGATGAAAATTTTTATAATAAATAAAAAAAATGAATTTTAAAAATAAGAGTAGTGCATGAGCTAAGGGAAAATTTTTATAATAAATAAAAAAAAATGAATTTATATAATCGTCGGCTTGTGTGAAAAAAAGTAATGATTGATTTTTAAAAATTTTAAAACATAATTAAATAAAAAAATTAAATTGATGGAAAAAAAAACAAAGGAAAAAACCAAAGAAAAAAAGAAAAGAATAGGCATAGGTAGTGCACGAGCTAAGGGATTAAATTTTTTATTCTAAAATTTTAAGGACTAAAATGAAATAACTTGGAAAAAAAAAACCCAGCCACATTAAGTGAATAGTAGTTTGTAAGAGGGTGAACAATGAAAATCACAGCTCAAACACCCCATCTACGTTACAACACGAGTGACAAAAATAGAGAAAAGTGTTAAATTTGCATATTACTGCCTCAAAACACTCAAAAAACAATACACAAAAATTATTTAAATTACTATTAAGTGGATAGTAATTAGTGAACTAGATTTTTTACACGCGCTACGCTACGGATCGGACAAAATACATAAAATTATTTTTAGAAATTATTTCATTTTGATATCTCATGTTATCTTATGTGTCTACTAAAATACGTCAAATTTTATATTTGATTGATTATTCTTTATTTTTTTTATAAAAAAATTATTTAATAGTACAAATAATGTCAAAACCAGCGGATTATTAGCTAAAAATTTATTTTATAATGTTTTTAAACATTTTTTTACCTTAAAATTTTTTATTAAAAAAATTAAAGAGAAAAGGACCAAAGTGACAAAATGAAACAAAAAAAGGATCGAAAACAAACAAAAAAAATTTTACGGATTGAAAAAACCAATATCTAAACAAGAGGGACCAAAGTGCAATGTTAGAAAAACTTTCATTATAAATATATTAAAAATACTTGAAGACTATAAAAATACCACTGCATGGTGAAAGAAATAGTGCATCCGAGTGCGTGTGAATATAGCATACGAGCGTGTGTGAATAGTATTTCAAATAGTGAATGAATAGTAAAACCAATGATTTTACTTTGGTTTTATTTATTATAATTAGAATTTTGGGCATATGAACAGTTTGGATTTTCACGCTACATTATGGACGGAACTAAACATATTTATTTTAATTTGATAACATATAATATGTTGTCGATTAATTAAAATATATTAAATTAAATATAAAAGATAAAATTTCATCTAATTTTTTATTTTTTAATCAAAATTTTGTGTATATATGTGTGTGTGTTTTGAATAAATTTTGAAGTCAAAAAATATAATTTCTCCCCTCTCATGCATTTATTCTTAAATAAAAACTCATAATAAACAAAATTTAATATAATTTTTTAAAAAAAAATATCTTAATTTTTTTCACAACATTGCATCAAAGAAATAAAGTGACAATTATATGAAAACTAGTATGAAAAATAACAAATGAAGCTTTTTTATTGATGAGATTTTTTTAAAAAAAATATACACATTTGATTTATATATATTTATTTATAAGATAATGAATAATATAAAAAGCTTAAATTGTAAAATATACATTGAAGTTAATAGAGTGCAATAAAAACTATAAAATTGATTTTGATAAAATTTGATTGTGTAAAAAATAAAAAAAATAAAATACATATATTTTATTTTTCAAATTTGATTGTATAAGAATTAAGCAAATAAAAGCGGGTATTAAAAAAATTTATTTGAATTCATACATAGAGAAAATAAATTATATTTATTAATAAATAAAATTATATAAATAATAAGAATAAAAATTAACTTGATGATAATTTTTATAATAAATTAAAAAGATCAAATTTAAACAATAAGAATAGTGTTATTTATTCTAAATTCTAAAAACATATCATATATATTATACAACCTTTAGTTTGTGTGAAAAAAATGACGATCGATTTTTTAAAACGTTGGCACCCAATTAAGTAAAAAAAGAATATAAATTGGTGGAAAAAAGCAAAGAAAAAAAAAGAGAAAAGACATGAGTAGTGCGTCAGCTAGGGAATTAAATTTTTTATTTTAAAATTTTAGCGATTAAAATAAAATAACTTGAAGAAAAAACCTCGCCATAGTAAGTGAATAGTGGTTTGTGAGATGATGAATAGTAAAAATTATTATTCGAACATGTCACCTCTTTTAGTTTCCTAGTATTTTTTTCAAACAACTCTTATTTCGAGCTACAACTTTATTTGTATTGTAATCTAATTCTTAACTGCTAAAAAGAAAGAGAAACGAAGAGAGAGATCTATGTTTGGATTTTTTGAATGAATTTTTTAAATATTGTTATTTTTTCTTTTAAAAAAATCGATATAATTTATATGACGAATTCTTTTAATTTTTAAATTACAATAGTGTGATTATATATATATATATATGAATTTTTAAAATATGATTATTTGCTCTTATTTTTTTATATAATTTATATAATAAATTTTTTTAATTTTTAAATAATATAAGTATGATTATATATAAATATATCTATAATCTAAAGATTAAAAATATTTTTAAGATAATTTATTTCATTTTTTAAAAAATTAACTAGTTAAATATAAGATTAAAAAACCAAATTATTATTGTTTTTGATTTTATATATCTTAATAGATTTATCGTATGATACGCAACATCAAATTGAAATTAATTTTTAAAATAATGTTGGATCCGCAAGGTAGGGCCCGTAAAAATCTAATTGCAGCTAAGAGTGATGTCATAAAATAGCGAAAGGCCAAGAGTTGAGTTAAGGCAGTAATTGCGCTGCATCGTAAGGGTGGGGTCCACCGATTGATGCACGCACATGTAACGCAGCAGCTCCATTTAACTCTAGCATGGTCCCACCTGCAGCAGCAATCACTAGCATTTATCACCACTTTTGCGTATTGTTTTTTTTCTTAATTGGTCCTTTTTTTTTTTTGAAGATTTTAATGGTTTTGCTGTTTCCATGTCAAAAGTATTACGAAAACATCTAACAAAAAATATTTTATAAAAGCACTTACAAATATATTACTAAAAACGCATTATAGCAATATTATTTTTCCACTGGTATTAGTGTCAAACAGTAGCTACCGCTTTTTTTATTAAAATAAATCACGACAATGCTTCTAAGATATTTGAAAATCATAGAATTATACAAACGTTTAAAATATCACAAAAGGTCCATTTTTAAAGGCACCTCTTTAAACTTTTGACATAAGAGCCAAAGACTTTGACCACTTTCTGTCTCTGATCGCTGATCAAGGCAATGAGTCTCCCGCCTTCCTTTTCTTCTCACCTCTCCTGGCCTTCCTTTAAAAAATAAAAATAAAAATAAAATAAATAAAATTGCAGCAATAATTTCCATAAGTTTAAATGTAAGGTAAATAACAAGAATCGTTAGAATGATGTTAGGATTACAAATATCATAAAAGTGTTTAAAAATAGAAAACCTTTTGATGAAAAAACCATTAGGACAATTTGTAAGAGTTTTAATGCTTCAAATTAATACCCATCTCTTTTCTTTTTTTTTTTTGTCATAGGATTTATTATTACTATGATAATATAAAATATTATTTTCATTATAAAGAGATTGTTCTTTTTTATTTATATTTATTTTAAAATATTTATGTGGTCAAAAATTTAAATGAAAAATGCTCCTAATTAAAATTTATTTTATAAAAAATTATCACACACACACACACACACACACACACATATATATATATATTAAAATAATTTAAAAAAATGAACAAAAAAATGTTGATATAGTATAATAATTAAGGATATTTCTAAATTCGTCACATATTTTGTTATTTTCATCAAGATTTTTATTATAAATTAGTAATACACCACCATCACATCAAATTAGTGATCATATAATAAAATGTAAGGATTTATTAACAATTTACAAAAAAAAAATATGGTAGATTTAATTGTATTCAATAATTAAACTTCAATATTTATAGTCAACATCATTAATTTTCATTTAATATTTATTTATTTTTTAATACAATCACATAAAAAATTGAGTATAATAAATGCATTAAGATAATGCTTGAAATTGAACGTGATGTCAATAGATAATTTTAGGATAAGATTTTCTTATAAATGTTTATCCCAAAATTTAAAAATTTTAGGACAGCGTACCTTAACCCTCTGTTTGGATAGAGTAGAAAGTGGAGGAGAGGAAAGAAAATAGGGAGGAAAGAAAAGGTTTCCTCCGTTTGGCTTGCAAAAGAAAGCTGGGGAAAGAAAAAAATATTAAACAAAGCTAAAAGAGGTGGGACCCATTTTCCTCTCAAAATTGGAAGGAAATGGGGAGAAAAACGGAAGGAAACCGATTTGTTTTATTTTTTTTTCAGTTTCGCCCTTGTCTGATGTTCCCTTCTTTTTCTCTTCGCTCCCCATCTCGTCTCTCGCAAACCCACTCTCTCTCTCTCGCCGAAGCTGTTACCGACGAGCATGTATTGCCATTTGTTGAGGACCCATAAATAAATCCAAAAACACCCATAATATTCATGACATCATTAGAGTAACCATTTTCTATTTCTTCATAATCAATTCAAAAAAATTGCCATATGTTGAAAGATATTTGCCAAGGGGACAAGGCAAGCATGTAATGCAGCTGCTGCTAATTTTCAAAAGATCAATAGATAATACAAAGATTGCTAATAATTCTTTTACATACGAAGGACGTGTCATCGGAAGAGGAGGTCGCCGTACTCGGGCTAAACGATGATGGATCCGATCCGGATAGCATGGATCGGTCTTTTTGGAGCCGAATAAGCATTTCGGCCGAGCTTTTTGTTGAATTTCATGATGAAATTTGAAGAATTGAGAAAGACCCGGATGGAGAAAATGGAGTGTGGTGATCGCCATTGAGGCAGCTTCCACGAAGCTTCCCTCGAAGCAGTAGCCTCGTATATATTTCTCTTTTTCGGCGTAATGGGTGCATGTGATATGTGTTTGTGAATTATGATTGTAAAGCTTTATAATATATGTGTTTGTTAAGCTATAAATGATGAGGTGTAAGTCTGAAAATATTAATTAGGTAGTTATGATTGTGGAAGATTTTTGTACGACTTGTTTATTATAAAAGAAAGTTTATTTTTATGTGGAAAAGGGATCCTGTGATACATAAATTAGTTTTGTACTTATACTACATGTTTTTTAAGATTAAATAGATTTTCTTAAATAAAAATGCAATCGCCTGTCAAAATAATTCAATAATTTTATTTGCAAAAACAAGGAAGATTTAAAACACTCCCAAATCAGCTTCACAACAACCCAAAAAAGCCCCTCAAAATACCATAAAAAAAAGATAATAATACATGTTATGCATATTTAAATTAATTTTATGTTGATAATTAATCTAAATTGGCTATTGGATTAATTAATTAATAAACGGTTATCGATTATTCTATGGAGACGATTCATTATCTTTCTTATCATTTTAGATATATGCTACATGATAGATTTTTATTTTATTATCATTTGTGTTATTTTCATGAAAAAAATATTCATACAAATTTATTATAAGTATTTAAATATAGAAATATAATCACAGGGGTATTATAGTAAATATACCATAATATATTTTCTTTCCTTCCTCTTTTTACAATTATCCAAACAAGGGAAAGTTATTTTTTTTCATTTTCTTTTCACTCTTATCCAAATAACAAATGAAAAATGATTTTCTTTTCTTCCAAGAGGAATTATCCAAACATGGGGTAAGATAATTTTACCGTTCTTACTAGTACTGCTTGTTTGGGATGGATTCTCAGAATTACAGTGGGAGTAAAAAAAATAAAGGGCACACGTGAAAAATATCAAGTCAGTCAGCCATTCATTCAGGTGCTTGGTAAGGGAAAAATCGTACTGTCAACCTGTGATAGATACCTTAAAAACCCACACCAATCAAAATTAAGCTAAACAAAACATTTAAAAAAGAATAATGAAGAAGAAGAAAATATAACAAAACTCAAAACTAAAAATTCAATTTTTAATTAATTCATTTCTCCCTGTCTCTCTCTTTCTCTCTTAACTTTCTCTGTCTAGCTAGGCATCAGCTTAGGGAGAGAAAGCCACGAAGAAGCTTCCTTTCGCTGCTTGCCTCAGGTTCCTCTCTCCTTTTACAGCTATTATTATTTTTATTATTCTTGCAGGAGGAGGTAGATCTTTCCTTTTCTCTCTCTAAAAAAATCTCTCTCTCTAAAAAATAAGAATTCGTACAGATTATTATTGTTTTAATTAATTAAATTAATTGAAGATGCGTCGATCTGCATCGAAGAAGACGGGTCAATCGAATTCTACCACTGCTCCAATTACTTATTCAGCTACGGATCTTTTTCGCTCCGGTATCTCCTCTCAATTTTCTTTTTTTGAGTTTAACTCAGCTTTTTTATTTTTTTAATATGTTTAAATTAATTGATTTTTAGGTGTGGAATTTTTTTTATAGTGATTTATTATTTTTGGTGTTTTAATTGGTGCATGGAAGTTTTGAAACTTTTTTCTGGAAAATTTATTTTTTCTTTTCTTTTTTGTGGGTTTTGGTTGGATTAGATTGGCAATAAGAACAACAGAGAGCTTATTAGTTTGTGTAAATTAATTATGATTTTATTGTTGCAATTAAGTAAATAAAGTTTATCAGGAGGTCAATTTTTTTTTCCAAAAAAAAAAATGGTAAAGATGTGAACTTTGTGCTGAAAATGAGAGAATATGTAAAAGATGGAAAGAATGAGACTTGATATATATATATATATGTATATATATATGTGTGTGTATATATATATATATATATATATGTATATATATATATGTGTGTATATATATATGTGTATATATATATGGATGTTTCTATGAAATAAAAACCTTTAATTGAAAGACAGAATTACTACCAAATGACCAAAATAAATATTGCTTCCGCCTTAGGGAAAAGATGTATTGGGTTGGATGCTTGTTGATCAATGTTTAGACTGTAAATGTTTGGTTATTGCAGGAAGTTGAAATCTTTTTATTCCTCTTTGGTTTTGCTGAAGGTTCAAAATCTTGGCTTCGGCATCTCCATGAAGAAACTTTCAATATTGTTCTGCTTATAGCATCTTGAAAAGAAAATCGAGCATTTATAGATCGAATGAACATCTCCTGTCAATAGATGCTTGGAAAAGTATGAGCATTTATATTACAACTTTTTTAGCAGATTCTATTGCTGAAATTATTTTGAAATTCTGTACATTAAAAACCATACGAACAATTTGCAGCTGTGGCAGTTGTGACCATTAAGTAATGCTCCTGACAGCTAATAGGAATTAAACGTTGTTCAGAACAATGAGCAATTATCTCTAAGAGTTTGCCACTGAAAAGAATTTGTGCTCCTTTTAGCTGTTGAATTCTTAGACTGAATGAAAACTTGGAATAAAAAATGTAATAACATGCTTGAGGTTGCTTTTACATAATGTTAACATAATTTTTTTCTGAACTTATTGCTATGCTATTTTAGGTTAACATTGCATTAAGGTTGTAACTGGTAAAACCTTTGTCTTTTTAGCCTCAAGTAAGGCATCTTCAAAAGAGATGGAGCGAATCGATAACCTATTTTACTCATATGCAAATAGGTCTTCTGGTATGATTGAGTAAGTTTTCTCCTTCAAAATACAGTATTTGATTAGCGAAGTGTTTATTAGCTTTTCATTATTGAAAAGATCAGTTGTGTTAATTTAAATTGCTATTGACTATCGATTTTCAAGTCAAGGAGATAATATGTTTGTCAGTTACTTGATCACATATGATAAACTTCCTCTGATGATAATTTTTGCATGTAACCTTTTGGCCTTGACATTTTGAACTTCAACTTTCTGTCTTTGAGCTTCAATATTATTAGGAAGGAAGAATACCAGAATTCTTAGAGATTGTTTTTTAAATTATTCTTTATGGATTTTTTTTTTTATATTAGGTAACTCATTGTTGATATTGGAATTTTAGTTAACATGTCTTTCCGGAATAACTTTACTCATTCCTGATGGGGGTTTGGTGAACCTTGGTCTCCCATTAAAGGGGACAATCAAACGAGTGAAATGGAAAAACCTGGCAAAAATATTATCAAAAAAATATTGCTGGAATAAATCACAATCAAACACAAGATATGAAAGGAAGTCCAGTGTAGAACTTCAGCAGAATGAACGGAAAGTCAACAGAAACTAAATGTAGACCATCCAAGGGCATTCAAAATAGTCTTGCTGAAAGCTCTTGTAATTTGTCATGCTCCAGGAGATTAGATTTTTAGTTATTACAATCTTGCAATGGTAGGTTAAAAAGTTCTAGGTGTAGATTCTGTCAACTGGTGAATTCAAGTGATAAATGATGATAAGTTGGATTGCCATTACGAAAGTGGGGTAAGCTTCTTTCTTTAGCAAGAACATGCGGGTTTACCAATAATTGGAGATTGGTAAGAACTTGCCAACAATAGAAGAATGTTGACGGGGATGCTCCATTATGTTTATGCTTAAGTTGTTATATCAAAGAATGTTGTAAGATGTATCGTTTTAAGATTTGTCACTGCATTTCTAATGTTAAATTGTCATTTGAGCAGCCCAGAAGGAATTGAAACTCTATGTTCAGATATGGAGGTGGATCATACTGATGTTAGAATCTTGATGCTAGCTTGGTAAGTTGAAACTGGTGGATCATACTGGAAGGTTTTAGAAACTATGCTTAACTTTTAATCTTAAGATTTTGTTGAAACTAATGGACTACGTACACATACCAGGAAAATGAGAGCTGAAAAACAGGGATACTTTACCCTGGTAAGGAAAATCTGTCTTCTTTACCCATCAATTTCTTCTAAATCAGTCACTTTGATTCTTGTTTCTATTGCTGATGTTATTCCATGAATTTGTTACCACTTTTTATCTTTGATTTTCAATTATGGTGCATCATGTTTTGCCACTATCCTATAATGAAATGCATCAGATGTTATTAGCGGCCTTTTAAATTGATTTTAGCCTTCAAGGAGATGCTTGGATAGATTTCTGACTTATGATGCTATGAATTTTGGGTTTGTACAAAATTTGATTTTGTTTGCAATAGAGTTTACTCAAACACACAAAGATTGCAAAGTATTAATACTTATTACTTACTATAAATGCTTATACACACACATATATTAGGGGAATTAGCTCAATATGTTTTTATATTTTAGGTCTAGTCTCCAATCTATCCCCCTACGAGTTTAATTGCTTCCAATCTATCTTTATATTTTAGTTCATTCTCCAATGTATTCTTCTAGTAGATATTTTCATGCAAACTGATGAAAATATCATCACCTGAGAAATTCAAACCCCACCACCTAATTTATTATTAAAAAAAAACGAATTGTCATATGATGTTAAAATTCTTCCACCTAATTTTGAGTTTGTACCAAATTTGATTTTGTTTGCAACAGTTTTTGCTCTAACACTCAAAGATTGCAAAGTATTAATACTCGGTACTTGCTATACATGCTTATGCACACACATATATTAGGGGAATTAGCTCAATATGTTTTTATATTTTAGGTCTAGTCTCCAATCTATCCCTACGAGTTTAATTGCTTCCAATCTATCTTTATATTTTAGTTCATTATCCAATGTATTTTTCTAGTAGATATTTTCATGCAAACCGATGAAAATATCATCACTTGAGAAATTCAAACCCCACCACCTAATTTATTAAAAAAAAAAAAAAAGAATTGTCATACGATGTTAAAATTCTTTTCTTTTCATGGTTATTTTTTATTAATAAATTATGTTAGATTTGAACTTCCCACATGAGTGTATTTTCATCAATTTGCATGGAAATATCTACTAGAATGGTGGATTGAAGAATTGTTTAAATGTAAGGATATATTGGAAGCAATTAAACTTGTAGGGATAGATTGAAGACTAAACCTAAAATATAAGGGCATATTGAGCTAATTCCCCTGCATATAAATAACCAATGCAGTTCACTCATTAAAATTTCTTGGGTCTCTCGTATTCTCTATCTTTGTGGATACTTATATGTGCTTTGTGGCTTGTTGTTTTCTATTTGTGCATTATTTGGTTGATAATCTAGAAGATATACATACAAATAAGTGTTGGGATATGTCCTAAGCTCTTAAATATTTGTTTTCCATCTCCTTGTTCATTCTTCAGGTTGACCATCATTTACCCAAAACCATGAGCATTATACTGCATAATTGTAACATTACTCATTTGTCCATTTCTTATCTCTCTCTCAGTAGAATGTCTTATTGTTCTCAGGATGAGTGGCGAAGGGGCCTCAAAGCACTGAGAGCTGATACTGTAAATAAATTGAAAAAGACTCTCCCGGAGCTAGAGAAAGAGGTATGACCTTTTCTGGTTTGGAGTAGTTGCTTGTACGTTTTGATGTTTTTTTAGTGTAATGGATGAATGGAAATGATCTAAAGAAGGTTGAAAAGCCACTGATCTTTTATTCTTATCTCTAAAAGGTTAAGAGGCCATCAAACTTTGTGGATTTCTATACCTATTCATTCCGGTATTGCCTAACAGGTATTACAAGTTTACATTGTTGAGTTGTCACATGTTGAAACACTTGTCTTTTTACCAGTTTTCCCCCTTATTTATGCTACTTTCAACCCGTTATTTTTCTTCCGGTTCAGAGGAGAAACAGAAGAGTATAGACATAGAGAGCATCAGCCAATTGTTGGATCTTGTTTTAGGATCCCATTTCCGAGGCCAGGTTGACTACTTCATTGAGTATCTAAAGGTCAGTGGCCACATTTTTCTTGTGTGTTTTCTGAAATTTTCTGCCTTTTGTATTCTAGTTCCTGATTGACATTATTTTAGGGTCATTTTCTTTTATGCTTTTTGTATGGGATCAACAGTATATGCTTCTTTCTGGTCTACTAGCTTATGAGCTAGATTGTAGAATTGATGGGCAAACTGACCCTGCCGCTGCTATGTTTTCTGTAGGCAATCTTGCAAGTTTTAACTGTTTCCCTTTTTAAGTGAAAATATCAAAAATCTTGATTCTTTATTGTAGTTTGATGTGCTAGGTGATCTAGGCAGATGAGATGCTCTGTTTATTTTATATCCGTGCTTATTCTTGTTTCTTGGGAGTTGTTACCATCTCGGATAAACTGGCTTTCACTGTGGTGCAGATTCAGAGTGATTATAAGGTCATAAACATGGATCAGTGGATGGGCTTTTACCGCTTTTGCAATGAGGTACTTCCTGTTCTTCACTTGATAACTCGAAATTCATTGATTTCATTATATTTGTTTGTCTAGTTAAGACTAAGGTACTGTGCTTCATGCACCTTTACCATCCTTATTCATGAGGTAATCCGTATGCATGAATACAAAGTCCATGTGCATGCGTGCAATTTTTTGGCGCCTTAACAATGTAATTCCATTTACAAGGTTAAAGGTTGAAAAAAATCCGGAGAATAAAATTTATTCCAGCAGTGGTTTAAATTTCTGTTCATCCTTTTTTATATGATACTGACACCTCTGCAGTTGCTTGGTTACCAGTTCCTGTAAATGTTTTGGCTTTATTATCTTGTTCATGTTCCCACTTTATTAACAGTTTCAAATCTCTTAACAGATAAGTTTTCCAGACTTTAGTAATTACGATCCAGAACTTGCATGGCCCTTGATCCTGGACAATTTTGTAGAATGGATGCGAGCAAAATGGACCTAAAACTCAATGCTTTTGGTTACTTGGTTTTCTGCTGTAAACCATTGTTATTATTTAAGTAGGTAGTGGTGAAATCCCTTTTATTTTCCCCACCATGGGAAATGTATTATTTTCATCCCATGCCAGTTCTCTCTGTTTATTTTCTTCTCTTTGCTGTTTAATAAAATGTCATTGATCTGTTTGCAGGATTATTGAAATTACGCACATTAAACCCCCACGAGATTTGTAACTTTACTTTTTAGTTTATTTTAATCCTGCTCTCCACCCATCCCGTGACTTATGCTCAAATTTTTTGGAAAGTGAAGTTTACTTGTTGCTGTCCATGCAGGTTCTACCTGTCATAGGGATAGATGCAATCCAATAAAATTCCCCATTGAATTTGAGTAGATTTTCTGGTGGTTGAGTTGGCTCTGTGATGTTGGATAGCGTCCATGGTAGCCTGCTTTCTCAGTGTCATTATGTTGCTTCATTGCAATTCCACAGCACGTGACTTGAATCAATAATTATGCATTCTAGCAGCCAGACAACCATCTCAATGGCATAGCTTAGAAACGTGGCTACACCTACGCAGTCTTCACTCTTACTTATGGACCAGAGTGATAGTAGTCTGGTAGATGTTTCCTCTACTTGTGCATGACATTCTGACAGTCTTTCTATTTCATCAGGATATATCCAAGAAAAAACTTGGTTCCGTGCAGACATTAGGCACAGGAATTAAGGACTTGACTGCTACATCGATCACCTATTTCCTATCTTCAATATATTTACTGTCATGGAACCAATTGGACGAACTTCGGCCGTCCAACTTGTTGGTAATTGCCAGTGCCACAATGTCTCTGTTCAAGGTCCGTAAATTGCCATTACTTTCCCCTGTGCAATTGACGGGGATTCAGAGCTCTAACCACCTTTGGCCATTAAGCCAAAAAATGGTTAATTTAAAAATCAGTCGAGTTTGAAGTGCGCTTAGAACAAACGCTAGTCCTCACCGTATGAACAATATCATACGGTTTGGTTTGCTTAGCTGAAAGTTTCTTCTTCAACTCTATTAGGCACTCCATGGTGTTCCCGGTCAAAAAGTTATCAATCTTAGCAGTTTAAGAGTGTATTCTTGTTTTGACTTGGCGGCGGTGCGGTCAAAGGGTTCATGGTTGACAAGCTTGCTAACTCTCAAAATTGAGAGAGTAGTATTCTTCCCCACACAAATGAATATAGTGCCATGAACTTTGAAGAGTCTTTTTTTATTCCCGCGTTTGGAAATTTAAGTAGCGGTTGATGCAGGGTGGATATGTTTGTCATTCCATTAGTCAAATATTAAAGAAAACCGATAAGCTGATGGAAGAATTTAATAGTGCTTAGAAGGATGAAAAACTGGAACGACTGTTAAGACCTTGCTGCCCTGCAGAAGTGTGGAGTATGAGACCAGGTATACGTTGAGTAGTTGATCAGGATATATCCAAGAAAAAATTTCCTAAAGTTCGTTCGTGAGAAAGAAATCTGTGATCCTGACTCCTGAGTTTCAATATGAAAGCACACAAGCCAGAGTGTTAGACGGAATGATACTATTTATATGCTTTGAAATGGTGACTAAATAGTCTTTGCAGAAAGAGAGAACATTTTGAGTTAAAACAAATTATAGCCATAGCCCTCGATTAGAAAATGACATGGGATTCCCTTCTTTATGCCATGGAACCAAAAGAGGTTTCACTAAACTGAAAAGTGGCAGGATGGCACTCCATATCTACTGTATTCCATGGGAAGCAAGAGTAAAGAATAAAGCAAAAATAAATGCTGCATTCAACTTTTCTTATTTTTCAAGGCTTGAAAGTCCAAGATTTACTTTCTTGCATTTTGAATCACACTTTGACAAAGCAAATTTATTAGCGCCTCTCATTCCAAGGCCTTTACCAATCAAGGGCTGATAAATTTCATGAGATAATTTTAACATCAGCCTAAGACGTGTGACTTTTGCTTTCTCACTTTCGACATCTTTCAGTCTTTTCACCGAATATTATCATGTCTTTGTTCGGATGCTGTCCAAAGATGACCTGTTTGCTCAGTTATGCTTTCAGCTAAAAGAAGGCCTGGGATAGCGAAACTGCATTAAAAGAAATTAAAAAAAAAAAAAAGAAGAAGGAAAAAAGTCCTAGCCCTGGTATTATTATTTTTTCCCCCCAGAAACTTGTTCTACTGAAAAAAGAGTCCAGGTGAAGCACAAGAATGACCAACATGAAAATGCGCACCAAGCAATAGCTCTTGATTAATTTGATATCTCAGGCAATACTACAAATTTGCGAAAGCACTGTCTTGCTGGCTGCAAGAAAACCAAACAAAATGAGGTTGGTTTGGACAATAGTGCAGAGACATAACATCACTTGCCAAAAAATTGAAAGCATACACATTTACATCTATGTGCTGCATGCCTGCATAATTCCCTTCAACGAAATGTTAGCACCACAAAAACCCAAGAAAAGAATGAAGAAAAAGGCAAAAAAAAAAGGAAACTATAATTAAAGATTTTGCTTCCCCTCGTTTTCTTTGAACAATTTCAAGAAATCCAAAATTCAGTTCTTTGAGATCATCAGGGAGTTGAAGCACGGAGAATCAAGGGCGAAGATGGTGGAAGAGCACGCCTGCTTCTACTTCTACCGCGAACTACAGGTGATGACGACGAAGATGATGAAGAATTAGAAGATGCGAATCTGTTGGACTCGCTTGTTAATTTTTTCTTCTCTCCTTCACAAGCCTTGTCTTCACTTTTATGATGCTGAACTCTCGTTGAATTTAAATTTGCAGGAAGAACACAATTGCACAGAAAGCCTGCAAATGAACAGGAATATATAAGAACCATAGCAAGTAAAATTATAGACAACAGCACCATTCAAGTATAATAATAATACAACTCCCGCTTTATTACTACGATACATGTGGAATTTCATTCCATAAAGAAGAATCTGCTTAACAAATCCACTGGTTTCATCGTGGATAGATTTTTGACTGGTTTTACAAGTGTAAACAATTGCATAAGGTTTGAATTGTAGAAGATTATCAGAATTGTTATGCATGAAAAAGGAACTGAGTATTGATCATAAACTTCAATACATTTGTAAGAATTCATCCACAGTTACTGAAAAAAAATATATTTGAAGAAATTGAGTTCTGTGGTGGAGAATGGAGACACATTTTATCATCTTCTTTTCACCCACTAAAATGACCAGTACAGTCTCACGTCAATAAAACCATTTCTTCTTTGCATTCAAGATTCAAATCATCCATCAAAATTATTGAAATTTAGCACTCTACTTCACAATTTGGAACAACTAAATAACTCGAAACAGACTTAAAAAAAGTTCTTACCAATTCGAGCGAGCCGATTAACCCAGCGTGGGATGGGATTACCCGTAAGTCTAACACAAGCGTCATTGCAGAAATGGTTGCAGTTCTTGGTTATCAAATTATAAGCATTCCCTCTATATACCTCTGCTAGTTCCTCCATCACTGTCCTCACTTCTTCAGGACCCAAATCTGTTTTTCCAATCAAAAGTGTCTTTCTAAATGTAAACCCATCACACTGTTTTGGTTCTCCTTCAAAAATTCCAGTTGTTGGAAACTCATGAGCCCCAAAAGCATACTCAACACCATGAACTGCATAACCCAATCCCAATTTCAATCTTGCTAAGATTCTTTTTATAATATAAACAGATTGAGAACATTAAAAAGAAAAAAAAAAACCCCAAAAAAGGAAAGTAAGAACCTTGAAGAAAGCTATTTAGCCATTGAGAAACTGTGGTAATAAAGAAAAGAATCTTTGAATATTTCGAAAAAAAGAAAAAAAAAGAAAAGAAAAGAAACTCACTGTGCCTAAACTTTACTAAGTTTCTTGCTTCCATGGATCCCAGAAAGGAAAAAATAATAATTATAAATTCAAAAATTCTTGCAGATTTTCATTAACCAAACAACCAGCTCCTAAAGCAATACATCAGACATTCAAAGATTGAACTTCAAAGAACACTGCTTGTCCTTGAAGATTCAATGCACTAATACACAGTAAAAAATCTAAACAATAAAACAAAACACACCAGCAGATCTAACTAGCAATGTATCATATTCAAGAATAAAAAAAAAAAAAAATCTTGAAAAGTGTGCAACTTGACAAAGATTAAAAAAAAGATGCTAATACCAGCACTGTTCTTAACAGTACTAACCTTGAACCCCGGAATGATAAACTCCTAGTCCAAGCCAATAAGCATAGCCATTAATTGGTGTCAGATCATAAACGTTAAGGTATACTGGCACAGATCCTGTATCATAACAACTCAAATTTTTTCTACACAACATTTTCTTCCTCCTCTTTTCCTTCCCTTCTCATTTGCCACTACTCCTATTACCTTATGGTACTGGGAAAAAAAAAGACCATGACAACATTATATGGATGGGACATGATTTATAGTCATGTCTTTTCCACAACAATGTATCGGTTTCAATAAAATCGAACTTAATGAATCACTCACTGTCCAATAAATCTTAAGAGAGATTGATGGAAGTTTAAAAATGGTTTCTTTTTTTCTTTTTTGAGTTTTGAAAGCTGGCTGGTAAAGAGAAGAATGAGAATCTTCTATTTTATGGGCAACTACAGGGGGCATGTAGTGCCGCACTGTATTAGATTTAATATTTTTAGAGTATGGTTGTTAAATATACGAATGCTTATGTATAGATAATTAAATTTGCTTTGTGTGCTTTTTGGATCCCAAAGTATCCCAATATATAATTATCTAAAATTTTTTTTTTTATGTATACAAAAATTCAAATTTGAAACTATTTACTTAAATGATTAGAATATTTTTCGATTAAACTAATTTTTTTAAATGTTTAGTATTGTAAATTACATGTAAGATATAGATTTCTTGTGATATTTGCTAGGATGACTAGTGTGTTTATTCTTATATTATCGTTTTAGGTTCAAATTCAAAGGAAGATTGTAAAATAAAAAATTTTCATAATTTAAATTTTGAATTAAAAGATAATTAATATACATAAGCTAGTAGGAAAATAACATGATTGTTAAAGAATCAGTCTTACTGGTGTCGTTTGTTCCATAATTGTGAGCTGTGTTTAGGAATTTGAAATTTTTTTGGGAGAAAGTAACGTTTGCTCATTATGGAACTTAGTGGAGGGGTATCATATTATATTATGATATGGGATTAGTGTGGGGTTTTTGTTAAGGGAAAAGGAATATCATTGTATTATTAGGTGAACAGAATGTAAGTGGGACCCAATCAGATGGTGATGAATTTAGTATAATCATGATTAATAACTAGATTACCGCACGGATCAAGGGCCAAAAAATAGAGCGACAATAAGATAGTATATGATCAAAGAAATGGCTTACAATTTGTTCAAGTCAACTGCTTTAGGGTGTTAAAAATCAAAATTTTGATCCAAAAATCAAGTAGTGGTTAAATGTCCTTTCGAAGCAATGCTGTCTATGTCCCAGTTTGATGATCAAGGGCATGTTTAATTTAATCACTTGGAGTGAAAAAAATCAATAATCTAGCAGTTTTTAGTTGATCCAAGTAACCGATTGATTCTCTAAGATTAGCTATGGAGATATTTCCTGTCCTAGCAGTCTTGATAGTTAATTTATTAGGCTTGGAAATAAGAAAATAAAAATAAAATGCCTTCTTCTCTGGGGTGGAACAGGAACAACAATTGACAGTCGACTGAGTTGGGTGTGCCAGAGACGAGGAACAGATCCGTTTTCGATAGTGACAAAATGCTGTGTCACACATTACCAACCATATATGGAAAACTAGCTAGGGTTTCCAAAATTTTGTTGGGAGCTAGTTTTGCAAAAAGTAATGTTTAGAAGTGCACTAACAGGATGCTACTGTCCATGATGTGATTTTACATGATTAAGGAAACTCTTTATCTTTCTTGCACTGATCCTTGATAAAAGGCAAAATGGCTAATAGATCGTGGTGTTTGCCCTTGAAACGGCAAGGATGCCATGGATGACAAAATTCCAAAGGCTGTCGAAGTATTAATTTTGTCCCAAAGAGGTTGAGGGCTTGGAATAGTTCAGGCTAGCCATAAAGCTTCCAATTTAGGGTTGGTAGGTTGGTGAACGAACTTGGGACCCGAGCTTCTCAAATGCTTGACCTGGTTCAAGTTAACTTGAAATAAAGGCACAATGGGTCCACAAATTCCTAGCAGATTTAACTCACAGCTCCATGCTACAGACTCCCAGCCTGTAATTCACAATCCGGAGTCTATCCCAAACCTTATCCCGAGCACCACAATCCTGCGAAAAGCGATTGTTTTGAAAAAGAAAATGGTGGCTAGAAAAACGAGGTAGTTGTATGATAAAATATTGGACAATTTAAAGGAAAATCTTCAAACAACAAAATATGGTAGTTTCAGCTCCATGTAATTTTGAGGCAAAAAATGAGAGAGTTTTAGCAACTAAGTGGTTGTAAAAAAAAATATATGGTAGTTTTGAAGCACAAGGGAGGATTGTTTTTTATGGGAATATTGGTAGTCTTTGGAATAATGCAGTGGCAGGGCAAAACTAAATAATTTCAAGGCAAAATTATATAATTTTAAAATTAAAAAAAGAAAGAACAACAAATCTAAATGCAGACAGATTTGTAGTTTTGTTATATATTAATAGAAAGTTCATTCAATTCTCCATAACAGGATTGTACCTTCTTCTTTTTTTCATTGGTTTCAACGAAAAATTCAATGTATCTTGAATTATACAAAGAGAAATAACATTTTTTTTCATTACATAATCATAACTAATAAACTACTTTTGGTATTTAAATATTAGTTATTGAAGAAAATCACTAAACATGCAAGAATTGGATTAAACGTATTTGTTCAAAAAATTTATTTTATAGGATGGGTTTAAATAGAATGGGTTACAATCGTTTAAATAAATAGTTTCGAGTTCGAGTTTTTATATATACAAAAAACTCTATAAGTAATTGTGTCCGTTTTATACGTCTAATTGAATAACGAAAGATTAATAGGAGTTTTTAGGCCTAACATATTCTAGGTATAAAAAAAAAAAAATTCTATTATTAAATACCGTTTTTACTATTAATATCAATAATATTAACAATCCTTTTCACCACTTTTTTGATAAATTTGTGGATTGAAATCCTCTTATAAATTTCTTCTAAATTCATATCCAAAAACTTCAGAAAAAAAAGTGTATCGCTTTAATTTTATCTAATAAAAATTTCAACTAAAAAATGCTGCATCAATAAAATAAAAATGTGATATACATTAAAGGGTTGGATGCATACTTTAAGAAGCGAACCGAAATAAACCATGTCATATACCGTGACGGTCACCAAGGTAATTTTACCAATTTTACAACTTATTTAAATTTTAATAATCAAGAGAGAATTTTAAGTGCACAAAAACCGGCATGAAAACCTTGTTAAGGAATAAGACTGCATTGAAAAACAAGAATCTTAGTAATCTCTCTGGCCCAACAGGCCCACACACCCTTATTTTGCCACCCACCTTCAAATCTCTGAGGCCCAAAAGAAAGCTCCCTTCGCAAAGGCTAAAATCGAAGCTCTGTGATTGCCCAACAAAACTTCGTCTGGAAAGGAGATGAAAGTGAAAGTGAAAACGTATGCCACCCAACATCGCAGAATCTCATGATGTTTTAGACAAGAACAAAAATTTGAAAACAATGTTTCTCGCCAGACAAACTTTGGCCCGAATCAAACTTACTCCTCAAAGCAAGCAATTTTGCAGCAGCAGCACAAAACCCAACAACGACAAAAGCATCAGTGAAAAAAAGAATCCAATGTGAGCAAATACGACGACGCGTATAGGCAACTAGACAATCTTGACTTCATGAAAGCTGCTAAAATGCTCTTCACTGAGCCCCCAAAGCAAAAGAAATTCGGGTATTTGCTACCTTTCTTTCTTTTTATGCTGCCTTTTTATTTGGGTCTTTGATATGTTAATTGGATAATGGAGTTTGATGGCTATTATTTATTGGGTTTCTTTTAGGCATCTTGTCGAACGCGTGCTTAGCATGCGTTTCTCTTATGGGGTGCTAATTTTGATGCTTAAGAGGATGATTTATATAGCTAATTTAGCTCATAGCACGACAAGTAGAACCGTTAGTAGTCTTTTTGATAAGGGCCAAGACATTAGTGTTATGCACGATAATAAATCAGACTAAGATCAATTTCTGGTAATCCTGGGTCCTGAGAGACCTATCGGGGAGAATTGCCTTTTTTTTTTTCCTCTGTTTTTTGAAATGCATTTTGATGGGTTGATTATGATAATTTGAGTGAAATGTTTGAATTATTTCTGTAATTTACGTATAGACTGATCGGTGATATTTATCTTGTTGAACCTCTTCACATTTTCATTTTCATTTAGTGATGCGCACTTACATTCGGGTTTTTTATGTTCAGGATTGATTTCCATCTGGTACAACTCTTCTTCACCTGTTTGCCTTCATTGGGTATCTCAGTTCACATGTTAAGCATATTGCCATTTTCTTATTTGAATGTGTCCTACTACTGCTATCTTAAAGAATGCATATTCATTTTTTTCCCTCTTTTTTGTTTGCAACAGCTGTATATTTGGTGGCTCAATATGCTCGAAGTGAAATGAAAAAAATGGATGCGGTAATGTTAGTTTCTTGTCAGTAGTGATAACTTGCACTTCAGATTCTATCTCATCAGATTCTATCTCATTTTGCCCCTCTTTATTCCCAGACTGTCTTCCCTTTTCCTCTCTTCTAGTTTGTCTCAAAATCTTATGTTTGCATGTCAATCATTGCATAGTTGGCTCCTCATAGTGCACTCTTTAGATTAAAACTTTTGATTCCCAAAGCATTAAATTGGTGTCTCCCACAAATCATAGTTTCCAGTTGTTGACCAGAAAATTATACATCCGTTTCATTGTTGTTTAGGGTTGACATGCTAAGCTTTTGAAGGCCAACAAGCCTTCAACATTATCGATCTCTGCACTTGGCTGTCAAGTGTCCATATATTTTCTGCATGAAGGACAATAATTCATATTGATCTCTGCACTTGAACATTAACAGCTATAGTTAAATAGTGTATTGATCTAAAAGCGCAGCTAGAATTTGGTGCTTCATCTCAACTCATTGTTATTTTTTCAGAATATCTGCACAAAAATAATTTTTGAAGTTCCCAAAATGTTTCTTTATTATGTGGTCTTTCACCAAGCTTGCTGCTTTATGGCGCCAACTTTCTGGTAATGGCTCCTGTTAGTGGTTTCATCAGGCGTTCCCAGGGAAAATTGATGCATTAAATGCAACAGAAACTGCTTTTAAACAGTTCATTCAATGGATACAATCACTCTACTTACCTAATAATATCACTAAAGCTATCCACATTTTCTTTTGCATTGTTCTGAAGTTTAGCCATACCCTTGTTTTGTATTTAGGCTCCCAATTTGATGATTTTGTACCATCCTAGGAACTAGAAAAGAAAAAGAAAGAAGAAGAGGAGAAAGCAAAAGAGGAGGAACTAAAAGCTATTGAAGAAAAAGCTCAGTCTGAGTCGCAGCTCCTAGAAGTTAAAGAGAGACTAGGTAAACTAGAGGAAGTTGTTAAGGAAATTGCGGTTGAATCAAAGAAACAATCAGGTGGCAGTGTAACAAAAACCCAGGTCCAGGAAGACATTAGTGAGACAATCAAACAGAAGTCCCTGGAACCAGCACCAGTTCCTGATTCTTCCCAGCAGGATCAGAAGGGCAAGACCCAAAATGAAGGAACTTCTCCAGATGGTAAGAGATAGAAACCTTGTTGCTAAATTCTGTAGAAAATAGAAGAGTTCATTTTTTTGACAAAGCTTGCGCCTGTCCCAGTAAGCTGGTTTTGCCCAACAATCTATCAGGGATTTTTAGGTTAGATGGATGCGCGATCTAACAGTTTTAAATCACTTATAGTTTGAAGTATTTATTTAAATGTTTGTTAGAAAGATGTGTACTCAGCACATAATTATTTCTTTTCTTGTTGGATTTCAATTTTTGCTTGCTCATCTGTACCAAGTTTTGCTACCGAAAAACTAGATATGCAGATAAGTCGAAATTACTCTTCATCTCTCCACTCTTTAATTTCAAATACGTACATATTAACGCAAGGTATTTCTTGATCTGCCAATGTTCTTCTACTGAAAGTCTGAAACACCTTGGGCAGTGTTTCCCACAAAATAAAATATCCTTTTAGGTCCCTTCAATATACAAATGCAGATAGTGTTTGATAAAATTAAAAATTAAGTGTTAAATCTGTTAAATATTGAATTTTAAGTGTTGAATAATTAAATACTGAATATGTTCATGACAAACTGTTTAATATTTATTGAAAATTAAGTATTGAATATAATAAACTTATTTGATAAGTATTGTTGTTGAATTTATTAAGGTTATATGCATGATAATTTTAACCTTGTAATTGTAATATGATATTTTATTAATAAATTTAAACAATAACTACAATTAATTTTTTTGAGCAAAGCGGAGGCTCTTTACTGTAATGGATTTTGTCAGAATTTATATTGAAAAGAGAAGGCAATTTTCGAAAAGGAATAGAAGATAAGCAAAACTATGTAACGCAATGGAGAGAGTTTATTAATTTTTAAACTATGTTCATGTCTAGATTGTGTCTTTCTAAATCACAAGAACTTCCTACTTTAACTGAATTCCTATGTGAAGCCCTTCATTGATTTGAAGGATATCAATAGAAAATTATACAAAAAGAAAAAAATATCGATGATGACGGGATTAGAAAGACACGAAGGAATATAAATCAAAACCTAGAAATTAAAACAGTTTAATCTATAAAAAGAATAAGTTTTTCTCTAAAAAAAATGTACAAAAAAAAAAAAGAATTGATCAAAATAGCAACAGACATGAAGAAAAATCACTTGAAAAGGAATGAAAGGAAAATTACCTGTAATGGGATTAGACCCCGGTATTTCAAATTTTGGAATGGAAGCACCGATAATAGAGAAGGTTTTCTCTGTTTTAGCAATAGGGGTAGTAGAAATTATTTTTCAGTTGATTTGTATAGCTAAAGTTATAAAAACATATAATGGTGATATAGTCATATTTGAAAAGTTTTAAAAAATATTTCAACTGAGCTTGTTAATAAAAAAATAATAAGTTAAAATTTTTAACTTAACTAATTAATTAAATTAAATTTTTAATATGAGATTATTTAGGTTATCAAACAAAACATTTATATTAAGTGCTATAACTTAATTTTTTAAACTATTTAAATAGATTATTAAACAACTCTGTAGTAAATAAAAATTGAAATTAGCGAAATATGCTAATTAAGTTTGAATAGGACGTCCTTTTTCCATTCAAATTCAAAGTTAAATTATTTTGAGCCCACTTCCTTTCCACTAAACAAATAAGATCAAACCCAAATCCCTTCCATATCAAAACCAGGCCCAACCCACTACACAACGTCAAAAGCCAAGCCCACAAATCTTTAATACCCTTAAACGGACGAAGCATTCCATCTCTGTTCCTTAAACCCTACCAAAAACTTCTTCACGCTTCTTCGTCCAGCAAAAATGGCACGCTTAATTCGACCTCTGAGAAAAGCCCTAATCAATCCTTCCAAAACCCTAATCCCCCAACTACACCCCATCTCTCATCTTTTTTATAAAAACAAAACGGAAGAAGAAATAAGCCCATCGTTTATGTCTCAAACCCAATACTTATTAAGAAGAAATTACACTTCAGAAATGCGAAAATCTGCTTTCAAAAATAACATTCTCAGGCACGTTCGTAACGAAATCCAGTATGAGCTCGATCATTCCCCTCCTAAACAAGTACTTTTCTTTCTTATTTGCTTCTATTTCTTTTTAATGTTTCTTTAACATCTGTCTGGGTTTTTTTGTGCATGTGTCTCTCTTTGAGCTTAAATGAGATTGAAAGCTGAAATTTTTGAGTTTTTGGAATTCGGTAGGAAGGTGCAATTTAAGGTTAGGAGTTGGATTGGAGAATGGTTTTGAGGGAAATTATTTGCTAATAAGAGTATTGATACTAATGATTGGCTTAGTTGAAGTCTTAAAAATAATTCACTGGCATGACAAAAATACTTTTTAGTTTTGAAAATTGCTTAAGAATTTAGTAGGGAAGCTTTTTTTTTTTAGATCGATGGAATTATGTCAAAAAATAAGCGGTATTGAAAAGAATAAAGGCGAATTAATCTTATTGAATTTTTACAAGATCAAAAAGCTCAGTTTTTTGAAAGTCTTTCAGGTAAGTTTGTATTATATTGTACTTCTTGTACTATTCTATCAATGATTTTAAATCTAGTCTTAATTTACAGCCTGTTACCAAATATGAGTCTTTCACGATTGATGACCTGCCAGGGCAGCAATGGATTAGATTGAAAAGAAAGTTCAGAGAGAATGAAGAGGTTAAGGTGGAAGCAACCATGTTTGACGGAGCTGTTCCAATTCCAAAATCTGGTGTGCCTGGCATAAAGGAAGATGTGCTGCTTCATATTACTTTGATTGTTAATATCTCAAAGGGTGATGGTGATGTCTTGGAGATTGTGGGTTCAGCTTGGCCCGATAGCATAGAAATTACAAACCTTTTAGCACGCCGGAGTGACAATACCTCACCTAAAGCTTATGATGGTCCTGAATTCAAGTATGATGATTCATTAACCTGCTTTGTCATGCCCATTTGGTTACTTAGAACTTAGAGGAATCAAAATATTAAGACGCAAGAAGTCCATCAAGAAAATACTTGAATAAACCTAATATGATTTTCTTGGTTTTATTTAGTTCATCCACTTCTCTCTATTCTTTTTTTTTTTAAATTCTGAAGAAAAAAGAAAAGAACATAATTCCTACAACCAGTTAGTAGCAACTTTATGAAGATTGTGGTTTATTGTTTTCAGGGAATTGGACGATGAGTTCCAAGATACACTTTATGAATTCTTGGAGGCAAGAGGTATAAATGAAGAAATGGCAGCTTTCTTGCATGAATACATGAGGAACAAAGGTAAAACTGAGTACATTAGGTGGATGGGTACTCTCAAATCTTACATTGAGAGTTATTAGGGATTGTTTTTCGAAAATGATCTTACTGATATTGATTATTTAGTCCTACGTGTATTGGTTAATGGAACTGTAATTGAGTATGTAATTCTTGGGTCTTGGCCGAGTATGCAACATTTAAAAAGCATTGAGAACTGTGAAAGAGAATTTTCCAATATGAATAGGAGTAATTGAACTGGCACTGAGTTGCTTTGTTGAATGAGCATCTAGTTGTATGGTGCTGGAATTGCAAGAACCCTTAAAAACTGTAACCTGCAGTTTTCTGTGTGCAAATTAGAATTGAACCTCTGAATGTTGCCGATCCTTCGATCTGACGGAGTATGTATTCAGAGGGAAACAGAAGCATACTGCTTTATGGTGAATCAAGTTACATTCTTAGGGTGGCAAGGATAAATTCAGGCATCTTCTTCTTGGGTTCACAGGTTGAAGTTACAATATCACTTAATCTAACAAATGATAATGGCTTGAATTTGGAAATTCCAAATCAAACATTCTGGATTTTTCAGATTTTGTCTGGTTGGTAGTGGGCAGGATAGAACGGCAGAGCTAACATATCTGATTGTAAAGTAGTTCCAAAGGATTTTCTAATAAAGTTTCTTTTCGGAAGGAAATTCTACAAACAAATTGGTAAGCAGTAACTGGATTAATTCGGTTTTTTTGTTTTTCTCTTTTTGCATCTTGTAGTTTAAATTAATTTGAAGAAAATCAGTTTTCTTTTGGAAAGTAACGGATGAAAGAGTTTTGAAACTTGGACAGCGTATAGCATTGGTGGCATGAAATTCAGGGGCAAAGAAGTGGACTTTCTGACTGTGTTTTCGTTTGTTTGACGGAAAGTGGGTTGCTTTTGGAAAGTATATTCTAAGATAAATTGATTGGTTACTGTTAAATTCATCCATCAAATTGCTATTTTTATCAATTTTTTTACCAATATACCCTCTATTAGTATATGTTATATAATAGTTATTAATAATTGATGAATGACATCTTGATAATTGTATAGAAACAAAAAGTAGAAATAATAATATGTTTGATAAATTTAACAGTACGCAAATTAATTATGTTTCAAGTTTGGTTGTATCCTAAAAAATGAGCTGGAAAACACTTTTCAGTGTTGGACCGTATAAAAAATAAGTTGAAAAATAATACATTTTGAGTTATTAAGTTTGATTTTTTTAAAAGTGGGATTTTTATAATTATCAAACAAGTTCCGGTCTTTGGCCAACATTAAAAACAATTTTTTTTTCTATAATATCTTATTTACTTAATACAATTTATATGCTTTAAAACGTATTATTAATGTATAATAATACAACATGATGTGTATTATAATGTTTTTTTCTAGCAATATTATCTAATTTAAAGCATTATATGCACTAATATATTAAATTAGTAAAGTTATATATATATATATATATTTTATATAAATATGTCAGTCATTTATTATTTTATAATAATATTATATATTTATTGTAGTGTTGTGCTATTCCTTTTTAGAAAGCGTCTTTCGCTTTTTCTTTTTTCTTTTTTTTTTAAAAAACTTTAAACTGGCTCCCTCTAAAGTTTAATTTTTCTTTTGACAAAAAAGTGAATTCCGGTGACTACTTTTTCAAAGTATAGCGTAGATGGACAAATTAGAAAAATACTTTTCGATAAACAAATGAGGCTTTAAAATAATTTGAGTTCTATTAGTGCATAAAATCAGATTTTTTTTTATTATTATTATATAAAATCTTTGTTTATTTAAGCTTCTTTATGAAAAAGCTAGGACATGCTTTGTTCATAAAAAAAACATAATACATTTTGCTTATTTGACAAAAAGAATTTCAGAATATATATTTGACAGATTCAAATTCTTCTCTTATGTTTAATTGTTTATTTAATAAATCCATTAAATTTATAATGAATAAGCATGATTTTAACACATGTTAAAAAAACAATATTTATTAATTTTTATTTCTCCCTTTTATTCTATATTATTGAATTCAAAAGTAATTACTAATGAAAGATTAGTACAAAACAGAAGAGTGACAATTATTAAATAAGCATGATTTTAGGAGATGTTTCTTTCTTAATGTGCGATGATCCCAATTATTGTCGGATGGAAAAAACATAAGGACCGAAAATGTTCTGTGCGTTTTTCTTTTTCTTCGAATGAGAAGAGTAGCAAAGCCCAATTGATTGTCATAAGATCCTTAAGAAAGAAGACTAGTTCTTGCTTTATGTCTTCGCCAACTCTCTGCAGCGCCACGTGGAATGATAGCTCAACATTTTTTTAGTTTATTATCATTACAATGCACTAAGTAAGAGAAATGATGGATAATGGATTTGAATCTTTGTCCATGAACAAAAGACAATGGTCTAAGATCACAAAAGATCCATTCTTAATATTTAAACATGAATTTGGACAAAACAACCTTGCTTTTATAATTATAAGATCTTAAGAGTGATGACCAATTCTTGCTTCATGTTTTCACCTACACTGAACTCGTCAAAAATGATAGCAACAAGTTTTTTCATGCATCTCTTTCTAGTCATGTTTTAAAGTGTTTCTTAAGTGAGAGGCAAAATCATAGGTTCCTAATTCTTTTAATTGCAAAAATTGGGAGGGGGATAAAGGCAGCCTAACACAAGAAAATGGACACCCGAACTGAACTGTGACACGTGGCAAAACCCCACCAAATGTCACATCCCATGGCGAAGGAACTTGTTCTGATGGAAACTGTCATCCTCATCCTCTGTTATTAATCAAAGATTTCTGTGGTGATTAACTGTCATAGTGATGAGGTTTCCGTTACTTTACATCTTGATTCTAGGAAAATTAAGTTGTGAGCATGATTAGCATGGTCTTAAATCTTAATTGCATACATCAGGTTGATTTGGACCCACTCATCCGTAGACCCCATTTTGTGAGATCTCTTAGGTAAAAAATCAAGGTTATCGAAGATTAAAAATACAACAAAACATAGAAAAATGATGGAGATGGCATAGCTGAGGGCCATTATTATGTGACTTTTTTCACATGGCTAGCTATACCTACCTCTTTGATCTAACATTCAAATAGAGATGGTCTATTTCTTCAACTGCTAGTGGGTCAAATATGGAGTCATATACACAATCACAGCCATCCATTTCTGTATTAATACGGTTGGACCATGATGTATCCAACCTGATACACATGTAGTGGACCGTGTTGTAAATAACAGCAACGGAATGAATTGACAATCACAAACATCCAAATTGTCCTACTATTGTCAACTTATGCTACACATATTAGAGTCATCAATGTAAGACCAAAGAATTCCATAGTTTTTGGTGGGCATTTACACCAATATCAAATATCCTATGCGATCTGTCTCTCCCCTTCTTAGAAATATATATGTTACTGCTATCTTGCTGTAATAAATGTTTTGTGTTTGAAATTTAAATTGTTTTATAATTAAGAGAATTAATGAAGGATGGGATTTAATCTGAAGGCATCCATACCCTTAATTCCATCCATCTTGAAGCAATTTCCAACGGCTAAAAATTAACATTGCAAAATTCCCACCAAAACCATGGAAGATCGTAAGCTGCTTTTTTTAACTTGTAAAAGTGTATATATATTCAACCTGTCAACTAAAAACCATATATCTTAATTTTTAAAGTGTAAAGATGACTTGGCTAGCACAAAGCAACTTCAAAATTCAATGTTTTGTTTGACATCAAGCATATAGAATTTGGCAAACTTCCAGTTAAAGAATTGCGAAAGAAAATAAAATCTCTCCCGATCTTCTATAGCAAAAAAAAAAAAAGGAATTTACAAGAGATCCAACTAAGAATAGATGAAAAATCTTTGGTAAACAAGAAGAAAACAAAAGTTAAAAAAAGAAAGAAATAGAAAAGAAGAACATAAAAGATTGAACTAAAAAAACAAAAAGATAAGAAAGAACTGCTCAGAGCTTGAGTGACAAGTCAATCTTTTGCAAATCTTCTTGTTTGGTCTTCAAATGGTTAACACCACCATCCCACCAAAATCCACCGATTCCTTCAGCACTAACCGGAGAAAATTTTCGAGAACTTTCGAATCTTGCAACCCCATTACTGGATGATGATCCAGTACTTATATTTGTTCCTATCTGAAACTTCTCTAATGCAAGCTTCCCAATTGCAGGTTGTTGATCAATAGGTTTTCTAGACCATCCATTTTGGCCGTAAATATTTGAAGAAGAATTAGTGTTAGATGGCTTGTGGATCATAGAGTGCACCTGAATTCCAAGCGATCTATTGAAGGAGCCATGCAAAGGAAGAGAAGCCATGCTAGTGTATCGATTTTGGTGTGAGTAATTAGGTTGAAGAAGAGCAAAAGAAGCTGTACTAATTCTTTGTCCACGTTTGGCAAGTGTTCTTTCTCTCTTATGTGCATTTTGGTGACCCCCAAGTGCTTGTGAGCTATAGAATTTTCTCTGACAATAGTTGCATGAAAACACTCGAGGCTCGGTTTCATTACCTTGAGGAGTATCTAAAGACTTACTTGATGGATTCATATCGAAAGAATCGATGAGATTGAGTTCCGGCTTTGGTGACTCTTGATTGGAATCCTTGCTAGAGAGGCTTAGATCCAATACAAGATCACGATTGGTATCTAGTACCCCTTCTTGGTGCTTTTCTTCTTCTTGATGTTCTTCAAGTTCGCTTTTTCCCTCCTTTTGGCTCTCCATTATTAACGAGGGCTTTAGAGATGGGGGAGCATTTGAAACTGAAATTATGCTTGAAGTTTCAGAGAGGCATGCCTCTGATCTAGCAGGAGGCTCCATGTAGAAACTAAGATTAAGAAGAGAGAATTAACTTCCCTTTTTTGAAGGGAGACAGAGTGGGTTTAATAGCAAGCAAGGTGAAATGTTAATTGATATAGTCATAAATGCAGTGCCCTATGTATGGAAGGATGTTCGGCTACTATTTTACAGTTACAAGGTCTTAATATAGTAAGACTTAGAGAATAAGACTTTTTTGTTGAGAGAGAGATTCATGTGTCATTAACGTTTTGATTACAACCCACGAGGAACACCATGTACCTCTTGTTTCCTTGCACTTACCCCATTTAATGTCTCCCTCTACCTTTCTTTTGTCTTTGCACTCTTGTCTCTTTATACTTCTTGACCTTTTTTTGCGTATGTTCATGTTCATGGCTATTTATGTGAGCGTGTGTGTGAACTCCTGACATGTATAAAATCCCACATAAAAATAAATATCAGTTTTCTTTTTGGATTCTTTAATTGTGTACATGTAGAATGGACTTATCCTAGAAAACGTGTGGTTTTGTAGACTTTAAACCCATCTGGCAGGATTTGCAAAATCTTCACAGAAAGACTTCTGTCTTTATCTTCGGATATTACTTTGTCCATCGTAGGAAACAGTAATGACCTGTCAAAATTACACCCTCTAGTCCACGGCATCAAGTAATTACATCCACTTGATATTCTTTATTTTATGTCATTTTCTTTTTTGTTCCTGGGCATTTGACAATTTTGCCAACATGTATGTATTATTGTCAAGAATATTAATCTTTAATTAGATGTTTAGATTTTTTTTTTTTTTTTTTCATGTTCATGCATAATGAAGACGGTGATAAATCAGAAGGTTATGATGTTGATTGAAAGATTATGATCATATGGTGGGATCATTTAACTAGATGGTCATCTAATTCAGAATGTTGACAAAATTATTTGGTATTAATCATTAATTTTGTTGACTTATGAATTGGATCAAAGTATCCTTAGTCAAGTTAATCACCAATATATTGTTATACACGCAATCATGCATTTAGGGCCATTTGAGTGACATGCAAAAGTCATTTTCATGATTAGAATTCATTATACAGTCTTTTAATTATATATATATATATATAAACATGAATTATAACTTACTACAAACTAATACTATTCATTCGACCAATATGGGTTTAATGATTCATTAGCATACTCACCCCTATAATTTAGGCAAGACATAGGATAGATCTCATAATTATGATGACGCTTCAAGTCTCAAGTCCTTACCAATATCACCTAAAGAATTTTTTTTTTTTTTCAAATCCTACTATGAGTAATATTCATTATTTATTACTAGCACCCAAAAAAAAAAAAAATTCCATTTTCAAATTCAAATTAAGCCTACAAACAATCATAACTTACATGTGTATTTATTTCTCGGATATCCATGACAAAAGTTTAGTTAAAATTAATGATACGTACATATGCATGTCAAGATCGCTTGATCTCAGCATATCACTTAATTTGCTTTTTGAATTTTGAAACAGGATATAGTCATTAATTGTAGGGTTTTTTTTAATGATAAAATACCAATTAACTGTAGATTCTCAACTCTCATCAATACATAAGCAATACAAATTTAATTTTAGCATTTCTGGCGTGATATATGCGTTATACTAAACATGATGTTAATTGGCCAATACGAACCAGCTGGAGATTCTGAAAAGACCTCATAAACCATTTTCTGCATGTGGGGATGGACTTGGCTGCTCATTAATTATATATAATATTTGTTGAAGTGGATTAATGTATAAAAGGTTTTCTCTAATTCTTTTAATTAATTTCTCCTACCAAAAGACATATTGATAGAGATATACAGATATTACTTCCAATCCCTTTTATGTCAGTACTGACTGGGCTGCGATGAAGAAAGGTGAATATTTTTTAACATAACCAACTAACATTCCTCTCGTTACTGTGCCCAGTTGATGAGTTTTGAGGGGCTAACCCTTCTTATTTTCATAAACGAAAGTGCTTTCTATTTCAAAACAGGGCCAATTGAAATTGACGTAATAACCATTGGAAGTTCAGTTATGAATAAGGATTTTTTTTTTAATTATAGCATAAAGTAACTAAATTAAGTTCCCCACTTCTCATCCTAAAATAAACCATTAATTCTAAAGTACATTATTTTTTTGGTTTAACATTGACATTTCATAGATGAAGGGTTACAAGCACAAAAAGGCGCAGCAAAAGTCTCTAAAGTACATTATGTGATCAGACATCATGTAAAGTATATAGAATATAGCGTAAAAACAATGATGCTGACCATTTTAAACCTTTAATCATTCACATTATATTCTCCAAATTTTAATTAAGATATAGTGTTTTTGGTTAATTTTTATAAGAAAAACTAAATACACTGTTGTTAAGCAGATCTAGTCATAATTTAATTAATTACTAATGAAACTCAATCATGATTTAGAATTGCTCTCATTTGATATGTATCCCCACCCAATTATACTGTTTCGGAAATAAAAAATATATTTGTTTTGGAAAAATAAAAATACTAAAAAAGAGAAATAATTTTGGAAAAAGTATGGTAATTAGGCAAATGCCTTGAGAATTTTCCAAAAGTAAATAGAAAATGCCTTGGTCTTTTATTATGGCAAAATGCTTTCAATTCCAATTCCGTTGCTTTGTCAATTTGAGACAACAATTAACAAGGCAGCCTAGCTCCCAAGATGGCCAATAGTTGTAGGCTGTTTGTACAGTGAGATTGCTATAGTCGATTTAGGTCACGCATTATTGAAGTCATTGTAGATGTTAGGTAAGCTTCCACACTTGAAAGAAAGAGCCAATGGGGTCTCTCATGCAATCAAATCTTTGTACGCCTAGGAATCTAATCCTATATATATTTTAGACTATCGTCTAATCTCCAATCATCAATAATATTAGCACAAATCATAGTTCTTCTTAGGGATTAATCTCCAACTTTTTCATCTATCTGCCATTTCCTTACAAAATAATTCTTTGACGTTTGATGGACAAGTGAGAACTATCTTTTAAAGATTCTACCCATCTCTTTTGCTTGTTCCTCCTGTGCTTCTTTTCCGTGGCTTCATGAGACAGGAAAGTGACAAGTAAACTCTAATTAACTTGTGTCGGCAGGTTCGGTCTGGAATTTTTTTTTTTTTATTATTATTTATGAATGTGATCATATATTAATATAAAGAAGAAAAGGAGGAGGAGGAGGAGGAGGTGCAGTACTAGCCATAGAGTAGAAGGCCAAACAACCAAAGATAAGAATAAAACATGATTAGACACGTTATAAAAAAAGAGAACAAATTACTGTTTTGAATACCTTGGAAAATTGCGGTGTTGTTCTCTCCACAGGGTAATTATAATCCATGCAAGCCTTAAAATGTCTAACAATGAATTCATTAATTTAGTGGAAAAAAAAATAAACACACAAAAATGTTTGGCTTTATTAATGAAAACAATTTATAATTTCTTCATTTAATTTAATGGAAAAAAGGGTACCAAGTAACTAAATTTATTTAGCGATGGTCCAATTTTTAAAATAAAAGTGTTCGGTAACAAGCCTATTTTTATACAAGAAGGCATGTTAGTCTTAGAAAAACAATTAAAAGCTAATTAATTATAAAAGAAATATATGTTTCTCTGCTTCTTTTATAATCATATAAAAAAAATTGTTTTAATATAATTAAGCATAAGAAATAAAATAGTCTACGGTGACTAAAAGAATTAACCAGTGCATATCAATAAACTTTGCTATGAGTGGGAGAGGCATAGCACTGAATTGAAGCATTGCTAAGGCATTTTTTTTTTCAGGAAAAATGAAAAATGAAAAATGGTTTAAAGTTCATAAAAAGAATTTGGTGGGGACTTTAGGTCATTTTCCCTATTTCAGGAAAATTTTCATGATAAGAATTTGGTTGTGTGGACTTCAGGTCACTATTTCTATTTGTGGAAGACTAGGTTTATGAAAGAGAAATTTTATCTTACTTAAAAATAATTAATAATACTTTATAAAATCGATGTATAGATATGAAGAAAATAGAAAAATGGGAGAGAAATTTTTTTAAAAAATATATAAATGAAAATATTCTTATCACTTTTTTTTAGGTGAGGATGTAATCTTATCTTATCTTTTTTTTTAATCTATCTTTCTATTTAAAGTGAATTTTTAGAATAAATATTTTTAGTCACAAGGAGTGCTAGCAACACTATCTTTTAAACATTTATTCAATAAAAATGGTCAGGTCAAACTTTCTTAACTACTTCTAACATCTTTTTTTGTTCTTGAATGCAAATACTGAATGTTTTATCTTTATAACAAATAGATAGATAATTATCCATCACATTTATGCTTTATGCAAAAATAAAAAATAAAAGAAGGGTATTTTAATTTTTTTTAGATAATATAAAATTGGTTCTAATTTAAAAACTTTTTAAAAACATAGAATATCAGTCATCTTTTAATTGTAAATTTTTTGCTTGGATGTTGGAGGTAGTTAAAAAAGTTTGACTTAAATATTTTATTAAGCAAGTGTTTTAGAGAGTATTGCTATCATTTCTCTTTTAGTTATTTGTTGAGTGTTTTAATTTTTTTTAGAAAGAAAATCTCCCTTTACTACCCGAAGAAGGAAATTGAATTATTGCTTGCTTTATTTTATTTGAAAAATGATCAATGTGTAGTCAAAAAAGATTTTATTATTATTATTTTTTGTGTGTGTGGATAATATCAACTTTTGTTTAATGTAATATGTAAATTTATCTATATAGTTTAATTTAAATATATGTTGCACTAAATGATGGATGTTCTGAAATATCGGAGTTCTTCCTCAATGGTTTAGGTTTGAATTCTATAAACATCTGGCTATAGTTTGAGAATATATATATATAGTAATTTTATTAAAATATAAATATTAATTAATCTAAAGCAAAGAGACCTTGCCCAATAGAGGATACTATAGGCCTTAGTTAGAAGAGAAGAAGTGTCAAGTGGTCAGTAATACTAGCTA